TATTGTGTTAGAAACATGGCAGGTAAGTCACTTGGTTCAGAGGGGCTGGGGGATGGGCTGGGTTATGGCAGGCAGATCAGTGCTCTCCAGCTGTCTGGGGTGGGGGTGGGGGAGGGGCAGGCCTGCTAAAGGGTCTGCACAGCACTGGATTGTCGCCACTTCTGCTGCTGCTCAGGTGCCCGTCCCCTGACTGGGGTCTGTGGTAGATCCTCGGACCTGTGTCAGCATGTCCACCTTGGTGAAGCCCTTGGAGGAAACGCCTCAGGTACATCCTTTTCAGCCCAGAGTCAGCACCAGCCCTTGCTGAGTCCCTGGGAATCTTTTCCCACGAGGCAGAGAAATACAGAGGCTAAAGAATCCCACGGGCAAAAACATACAGGTTATGTGAGGCCCGTCTCTTTGTTGGGGGGTCCCACATGCTAAACATCCATTGCTGGGAACCCCACTCAACTCTCAGGGGGGCGGTTGGCAGCTGTTACTCAGTTGTGGCAAACTAAGTAGCTTCCTAGTGAGCTGTCTGGCTCGGTGGCTCAGTTAACACCTTGGGTCATCCCAAAGCCCCCAGTTAGGGCCCTTGGAGTTTCCTGTGCTCAGGACAGAGCTCACAGCAATGACTGGATCCTTGGCTTCAACATGACCCTACCGTTCTGCCTGGACTGGTGTCTGGATCCATTGGCCATCAGCAACCCAGGTGCTCTTGGGGGCCTTGGGGGTACAGTGTTGATTCTGGAGCCTGGCCTCAGGCAGCGCCACACCCACCTTGCTCTAGATGCCCTGACTCCAGGCTCAGCCTCTACCCTATGGGACGGATGCCTGCTTGTGTGCATTCTAAGTGTGTACATACCTGTGCATGCATATGCTTGGAAGATAGTTTCAGCTAAATCGAATATCTGAGGCACAAGCAGATCCCCGGAGATGTTGGAGACATAAAACTTAACATGAGGAAAACACTCATCTCTTGCTTGAAATTTAAATGTAACCATGCATCCTGTATTTCTCCCAGCCACCCTACCATTCCTAGGACACCCCCCACCCTGACCCACCTCATCCCAACCCAGGTCAGGTCCCCTTTGTTTCTGGAGGCTCTGGGTTTGGCCTGGGACCTGTTCAGAGATTATATGGTCAGTTCAGAGAAGGGAAGGAGGTATTTTAAAATAAGGTGGTCACATGCTTGCACATTTCAGCTGCAGATCTGTAAGTGGTCAGTCTTATGACACGCAAGGAGACTTTGATCCTTCGCAAAGGACACAAACCCTGTCTTGGGGGCTGCTGCTGCACAGTGCCCTGTGAGCATGGTGCCCCCTGGAGTCCATCTCAGGAACATGCAACTCAAAGTCCTAGTGTGGGTTCCTCTGAGCCCCTACTCCAAACAGCCTGGGACCAGCTGTCTCACCCCAGGCCCTCTAGATTTCCACTGTTTCCTGTCTCTTAAAACTGTCACACCCGTGTCAGCTGTGACAATCCCACCTCAACAGACTTTTCCAAGTCAGCTCAACACTCAACTTCCTTTTCATGTTCATAAGGCATCATGTTAATGATGCTCTTCCGTTAAAATTGCAGTCCTATAGCACTCTGTGCATTTGAGAATGTAGGTGACATTTGAAGGTTGTCCCCTCTCTTTGTGGGATCAGGGACAGCACTTCCTGGGGGAAGCATGTTTGCCAGTGTGTGTTTAGAGGGACAAGGGACAGCATGGCAGCCTTCTGAGTTCCAGCACTGTGTAGTCAGGTGATGTAAGACCACCCTCCTGGACTGTGTGTCCAGCCAGGAGACTCCCCAGCCCCGTCTGTGAGTCAGACACTATTCCATCAGTCTCTGGGACACCCAGGTACCCATCCAATAACACCACACAAGAAGGAAGACAATTTACCTTCTGGATGGAGGATTGGGGCAGAGTGACAGGCTGGGAGATGAGGAAGCAAGGTTCCCAGCTGGGGAAAGCAGTCTGAGCAGCCCTTATTTTTCCCCAATACTAACACTAGGTGCAGTCCAGCAAGCAGGAAACTACCCTAGGATCGGTTACAGCCTGAGGCTTGGGAGTGTGGGGCTGTGTACTCAGCGGAGAAGTATTCAGAACACTTTAAAGCCGGCTGACGGTTTGGGGGGGAGGAGAGTGTAGGAGGCACAGTGACAGGGTGGGCTGTGGCCTCGGGACTTTAAATTAGGAGCAAGTGTCTGTGCCCAAGTTGGGACAGCTCAAAGTTGAAGGCCAGCTACTCTGGGCTCCGCCTTCCAGGAGAACAGAGGTGGATTGGGCTTGGGGCAATTGCGAAACTCAGGAACTATCCAACAGCCATGTGTACTGTCCCAGAATAGACAGCAGGGGGCGCCAGATACCTCCGAATCATACCCAATTCTGGCATTCCTTCCAACCACTGGCCCTTCCAAGCTGACTGCCATGGAAGGTAACGGGGTGGGGGGCGCTCTGTCCAAAAAGACTGCCTTATGGCTACATAAGCATCTCCTGACCCGAAGCAGACAGACTCCTCAAGTCTTGGGTGTCGCCACAGGAGGTCCTGTCCCCCAGACACTGGATATCTTCCAGACTTCAGGGCAGTCACTAGGCAGGTTTCAAACTTGCCCACCCTACATGGTACTGAACCTGGGTCCATCCTCTGGGAGCGTCTGGGGATACAAATCCCTCCTCTTCCCCAGCATTGAATTTTAGGAAGAATCCTAGCTGTTATTCAAGGATGAGATCCTTTTTTTTGGGATTCCCACCAAATGTGAATATACAAGGGCCCTGGAAGGCATTTAACATTTTTTTGTTGTTGTTGTTATTGCCTCTTTTATTTTATTTTATTTTTTTACTTTTTATTGATTCTTTGTGGATTTCACATCATGTATCCTGATCCCACTCATCTCCCCATCCCTTCATATCCACCCTCTGCCCTCCCCCATGCCAAAATAAAATAAAATTTAAAAGGAAAACAAAAAATGAAAACAAACAAACATACAAAAAAAACCTCACAGCATGTGAGCTGTAGTGGGACACAGTGAGTCACACAGTATACACTTTAGTCCATACATCTTTACTCATTCGTTGGAATGAGTCATTGGTCTGGTTCGAGGCCTCCGGCTTCTGCTGCACCCTCCATAAGATGCTTCGGCCCTCCTCGGGACTCCTTTCGGATATCCTGTTGCAGCTTTGTCATGGAGATCCTGCAGTTTTGGGTCTGCAGCACTTGGTAGAGCAGGCCCTGCACCTTGCTCGGGGAACACAGTAGAGCTGACCCTGTTGGTGGTGGTGGTGTGGGTGAGCCGGCCCTGAGGGCATGAGAGCAGGAGAGCTGACCCTGCCCTGCCCATCTGCCATGTGGTGGGCTGGGTGAGGCAAAGATGCCCTCCTCCTTTGCTCCTTGCCACCTGTAGCAGGTGGGGAAGCTGGCTCTGGGATCACAAGGATGGGAGAGCTGGTCCTGCCCCTCACTGGCTGCAGCACATGGGAAATCGGAGATCAGAGATCAGGCCCTATAGGTTTAGCAGCAAGAACTTCTACCTGCTGGGCCATTTTAATGGTCCCTCTTGAACTTATTTTGAGTGATCTGCAGGACAACAGGGAGAGAGAAAGAGATGGATGGGTGAGGTGCAAAGGAGATATGTTCTGAGTGGCAGTGGCCCTCCAGATGGGCCAGGGAGGTTCTCTATCCAGGCCAGTGAGATAAGGAGTCTGAAAGACTCAGGTAGAGTGAAAATGTGTGGGGAGTGGAGATGTGATGTGGGGAAGGATGTGTGACCTGGGAGATTGACTGACCTCAGTAAGCCAGCATAAGTAACAGAGAGCTGTCAACAGTGAGGCTGTTTTATTTAGTTTTCTTATGCAAAAGTAATAAACTGAGAAAAACACACACACAGAAAGGGAGGAGAAAGCAGACACCCAGTTTCCTCTCCCAGGCCCGTCACTGCTTATTAACTCTAGACTTTTCTAAGCTCAGTCTTATGTTAGCAAACCAGTTTTAAAGGTACCACATATTTCCTTCTATGCCATGTTTCTACCACAGGTGTCTGCAGCTACAGTCTCATGGGGTGGACCGGCCACTGCCACACCGTGGTGGACCTCTGATGGCCAGATGCTCAGGGTGTTTGCTCCTTTGGGTTCTGACTGGACCCCTTTCCCTTCGCCAGGCCCTCTGTGCCCGTGCAGTAAATCACGGCTGTGAGCACAGCTGTCCTGTCCTGACTGTCCTCGTGAATCACATACCTGGGGGTGGCTCATGCCTCATTTCTTGTGGCACAGAGGCCAGGGTTCTGGAAATGAAACCCAGAGGCTCTCTGCTGCATAGCTACATGCCAATACTACTGGACTATATCCCTCTCTGGGTCTCTGGTTATATTTAGGCTGCTACTTGGGAAAGTATAAGTCATGGATTGTTTGGATGAGGACTTGAGGGACAACTACGATGAACCTGGGGCCCTTGGGCCACACAACTCCAGGATGGGGTACAAGAATCCTTGAGAGCCCTGAGTTTTGGAGACCCATGGAAATCATTACCCTGGAAACAGACCCTGTGTCCGGTAGGGTTCTAGGACCCCCAGGGGACCATTAACCTGGACATAGGCTCTGTGTCCAGCACTGTTGAGACCTCAGGGGTGGGGCCCCAGAGCTGCACTTACTTGGGCAGGGGCCACAGGTTCTAGTAAGGGGTAAGCACAGTAGCCCGAGCCAAGGGGTCTCTGTTGGCTGCTGATATCCCCTTGGCTGGGACAGTGCCTGCCCCCCGGTAGAGGCTTGGAGGAAAGCTCTGGTCTGGGGAAAAGGGTCCAGCCTGGCTCCACACTTCCTGTCCTGGCTGCTCTGCCAATGTCCTGGGTGAGGGAGTGTCTGCAGGCTTACTGAGGAGGCCATGGGATCACAGAGGGCCCATAGCACAGGACTGGGGTCTCAGCAGCTCTTGTATCAGATTTAGAATGGTTCTCCCTGTGAGGAGGAGGGGTATTAGATGCACCCATGCTGAACATCAGCTTTGAAAACGGATGGATTTGATCTGTGATCCAATTCCCCCAGCTGTTCCCCCAGCTCCTCCCTCCAGCCAGCAGGGAAACAGAGACCCATAGTCCTCCGCCCGGGAATGAAATATTCAGTTTGATGGCTTGGGCGGGTGGTGCTTCCTTCCTTGTCCCCAGCCCTCCTATAAAGAGGAGCCTGAGCATTGGCAGTCGCCCCACAAGGCTGCAGATTGGGCGGAGCAGACCAGCAACAAGGTACCCTCTGGGAGGGTTTGGACTGCTCTCTCTACAGAGAGGGCAAACCTGATGTGTGTGGTGGGGGGTACGGGTGGGGGGGGTCATCTCGTAAATAGTCAAAATTAGTAAGATTTCACTTCAGAATAATGGCTTCGGAAATCAGAAGCAGAAGTAGCTATGAAGTGCTCCCAAGGGTGGTCCACTTTGGGGTGGCAGGGTGGGCCAGTCCTAGGAGACATCATCATCATTCCTGGCTTCTTCCTGCTGCAGGTGGTCCTGAGTGTATTGACTGCACCTTGGTGAGGATGCAAACCCGCGTGCTGTGGTGGCTGGCCCTTGGCATCCTGCTGGCGATTCCTGCAGGTGAAGGGCCACTCTGGGCCTGGCCAGAGCCATAGCTTTTCTACCATGTCTCCATGTCTCTCCTGCACACTGCCCTTGCCGTGGTCTGCAGTGGTTAATGGGGGGTTACCCTGGGTGATGGCTCTCCTTTTCTTTTGCAGGAGCCAAGCCGATGCCAGAGGAAGCAGGTACATTTTTTTTCGATGTCTTTCCTTTCGCCGGCATAAGTTACTGGTCCAGGCGGGTGGGTGGGGAGCAGAGGTTGTTTATCCCCAGCAGACACAGAAGAGCGGGAGCCCCAGCTCTCCTGGGAGTATGACAATGTAGGTATCATCGCCAGCAGGGAGCTGTGCATGCTAAGGGATCCAGGACAGCATCAGGTCGGCCTTGTCTTCTGTCATGTGGGAGCACCCAGACAGAAGGGAGATGGAGGAGCCCTCAGGGTCCCACCCTCAGCCTGGGCTCAGACCCTGGCTTCTCTCAGGAGTCCCCACTCAGCCCAGTCCCAGCAAGGAGGCCCTGTCCTGTGCTCTAGAACAAGGGTGCTGTGTTCTCTGAAGCCTCATCCGGCATGAGGCCTGAGCCCCTCGTCCATCACCCAGCTGCCTCCCTGCCCAGCATCTCCCCAGACAAGAACAAGGCCCCACTTTGTCCTTTCTAACCCCCTTCCCCTCTGTCTACCAGACCAGGTACCATAACGGGCAAAAGGCACACTCAGAACGGTTCAGACCCCACTCCTGGGTGGGAAGGTGTCATCTCTGTGGCAGGCCCTGGGGGACACCATCCATGTGCCCTGGCTGTAGAGGGGAGGTTCTTCCAGGGATGATGGACAGGCCCTGAGGTGCTTCCCTGTGTCTTTCAGACCCCTACACTCAGCCACCCGCCATGCCCTACTGGCCTTTCTCCACCTCTGACTTCTGGAACTACGTGCAATATTTCCAGACCCAGGGTGCCTACCCACAGATCGAGGACATGGCCAGAACCTTCTTTGCCCACTTCCCTCTGGGGAGTACCCTGGGCTTCCATGTCCCCTACCAGGAGGACTGAGCAGTGTCCAGTCTGCTGCCTGCCTGGCTGCACTGGCTGGGGCCTAAGGTGGTCTAAATACAGTGATGAGCAAGGGATGGGACTCGTGCTCAATAAACTCCCCATGAAGACACATAACACCCCGGTGGGTTTCTTTCAAGGAGCCGATGTGTGCTGTATCACTCTGTGAATTCGCTGGGCTTTATTCTGATGAGTACTGAGCACGTCTTTAATAAAAACAGGCATAATTTCTATTCATACGAGTGTCAATCAGGGCTTGCACCCTTAGGTATCACCTTGTCATTCTACCCTCAGTGACCCGGGCGTGGGCTGCGGTGGCCCCAGATTGTAGGTGAGGAACCTGGAACAAAGACACAGTACAGCCTGGCTTGTTAAGGCCGTGTGCCTAGTTAGGCAAGCCAGACAGCATCCCAGGCAGCTCCTCCCCTTGGCTGCCTATGAACAGCAGTCACATTAGGACCAGGCACCCATGCTTAGTGCAAAGCATGTTGGGAGAAGCAGGAATCAAGAAGTCATATCCCTGCCTGTGAGGGAGAATCATAGCCCACACTCGGTCTTTGAGGGAAAGATTCCAGGTTGAGGCTGCTGGGGGAAGGGGATGGCCACCCTGGGTAGCCCTGTGGGTGTGGGAGGATGTGCAGACAGTGTAACATAGTTCAGGTGCAGCCGATGTACAGTTGGTGAGCTTCCCCGACACATACAAGGCATACAAGCCAAGAACACACCAGTTAGTGCCCCCCACATTAGTTGGGAGAGAAGCTGAATACCAGGCTCCTCTTCACTGCCAGCCTGTCTCAGCATCCTTGGTGTGACCTTCACTTGGGCATCTCAGGACAACACTGACCTGGCATCTGAGGCTCTCCAGTCATTGCTAACTTCTCCCGGATCCTGCACTTAGGCTGGGGGGTGGGGGTGGGGCGCACAGTGACTGCCCAGGCCCCAATTCCCACTCTATCTTGGCTAAGTCGGTTTCCCTGGAGTCGTCTTCTCCCTTGACCCCCATTCTCACTCTAGCAGCCCAGACCCTGAGCTCTTGACTTCTCAGAGTTGTTATAGGAAAAGCAAAAGCAAAACAAAATAAAACAAACAACAACAAATGAAACGGTCCCTGAACACTATAAAATCAGAATAAGGGAGGCCATCCAAAGCCATTGTGACAGGTACAGGAGCCATAGCCTTGTACTGCATGGAGAGACTTGGCTCATCAACCTTAGCAAACAGGGACTGATTGACAGTCAAGGAGTGGGGGCGGGGTGTGTGTGGGGGAGGCAGATGGGAAATGACTCAGGAGTAACACAGGGGTTTTGCTGACGCAAGGGTCAGGTGACACCATTTGGGGATAGAGGAGTGTGATGAGCCTTATATCAGACATGGAGGGCTGGCAGGTATCAGTTGGTTTCTGGCTTCTTGCTACATTGACTTCACAGGGATGTTTATTAAACCTAGATCTTGGGGCTGGAGAGATGGCTCAATGGTTAAGAACACTGACTGCTTTTCCAGAGGACCCAGGTTCAATTCCCAGCACCCACATAGCAGCTCACACCCATCTGCAACTCCAGTTCCAGAGGACCCAACACCCATGGCAAAACACCAATGCACATAAAATAAAATAAAAATAAATAAATAAAAAAACCCTAGATCTTAGAAGGAGGCTCACAGAGGGTCCTAGGGGGACATTCAGGAGCCTGACTAGAACAGTCTAGACTGTCAGAGCAGCTCAGGCTTTCTCTCCCAATGGACCTCCCTCCATCCCTTTCTCGTCTCTCTTTTATTCATTCATTAAAAACCATGGTACAATACAATATAGCACCCTAAAATGAACCACCTCTCAGTGAACACACCACTGATATAATGGACACCCCTCCTGCCCCCCCCCCCGCCCCGCCCCACCTCTAGGACGCTTCACTTTGCAGATCTGAACCGCTGTCCACTGAACATCTGCCACCCCCAAGCCACTGCACTGCAGCATTTCTAGGAGTTTCGCTGCCCTAGGGATCTCATGTGAGTGGGGTCACAGCGTTTGTTTTATTTCACGTAACAACATCCTCGAGGCTCGTCCATGCCCATGGGTTAGAAATCCCTTCTTAGGTAAGACTCCACACTACCCCACTGTGCGGATAACGCCTGTTTTGGTTTTGTCTGCGCACATGCATCCGTGGGTACCGGGCTGCTCCCTCCACTTGACTGAAGTGATCCCGAGCGATTGCCGAGTGAACCCAGGCTGGGATTCTGGGTCACGGCCACTGTGCACAACTTTTGGAAGTCTGCTACTCCTAAGCAGCGCCTGGAGGTCCAATTACCCCCACCTTCTCGCTACCCCATTACCGCCTGCGGTATCTGTATAGTAGCCTTTCTGGCGGTTTTTAATTGCATCCCTTCTGGGAAACGGACAGTCTCCTTTCTCCGCCAACTACTCGTGCTCGTGGGGTGCTGCAGGTCCTTAACCGGTCATCTGCGCCCTTGCCTGCTCCGAGGGAGAAAGCTCAGATGCCCAGGAGCCCGGTCGGCAGGGAACCACCGAGTCGCGGTCCTCCCGCGTCTAGACCTGTTCGGAGGCACGCCGGAAGTGGATGAGGCTGGCCGGAAGTGAGCGCAACGCCGCAGCCCCGAGATGAAGCCGGCCGTGGATGAGATGTTCCCCGAGGGCGCGGGGCCCTACGTGGACTTGGATGAGGTGGGGCTGCGGCAGCGCGGAGCGGGGCGCAGGGGCGGGAGCACGGCCCGCAGACACGCACGGGAGCCCAGGCCCCTGGGGTTCCAAAAGCTGCAGGCGGGTGGTGACGGTTGCAGGGCCGGAGTCTGTGTTGGGCGACTCGCAGCGAGGAAGTAGGGTTTGCCCGTAGACAGCGATCTGACTGGGGGTCCTGACAAAGGGAGAGAAATCCCACGCGAGGTTTATGGACTGCCTGGCCGCCAGCACCATGCCCTGGAGGGAAGGGCAAGAGGCGATGTGTGGCATTTGTGTGCACTGCGCTGGGACTCGGTGAATTCGTGTAGACACACAGTTTTGGAGCGGTCTTATGCCTTTGGTCTCCAACATGGTCACAGAGCGATTTTAATCTGGAACAGGTGTTCCAGTGAGGTGGCCGGCTCTTGTAGCCTCTTGCTCCCCTCAAAGCTCAGCGAGTAGAGAGATGCTCAGATGCAGCCCTGTCCTTAAGAGAGGTCAGGTGTGGCCAGAAGAGGCCGATTGCAAAACCAAAGTGTAACAATAGCAAGGGTCGGGGGTGGGGTGCCCTACAGAAGCACCCATGGGATTTTGGTTGGCTCAGTTGAGGCTCAAGAGAGGAGCTTCCCCTGAGCCAAATGGTGAAGGATGAGTCCTGTTGTCATGTGGACATGGATGAAAAGAGCCATGGAGCAGAGCCCCGGAAGAGTGATGCTCCCTGGCCCACAAAAGGAAGGGAATGCCATGTAGTTGGGCATGGAGGAGGGGGAACAGGCAGGGCCGCATCATGGAGCCCGCAGAATGAGTGTATGGGCTCCGTGATCCAGTGTTGAGGCCGTTACGTCCAGCCCCAAGGTCCTCAGTACTGCAGCAGGTGGTGTGAGGGCATCATAGTGAGGAGACACAGGCCGACTCCCTGTGGAGGTTGGTCCTTTGGAGGTCCTTTGGGTGTGTAGGGAGACAGTAGAGAAATGAACCAGGAAGGATTAAGACTCGAAGAGGTTCTGACTGAGGCAGTGGAGGTGGGGGGAGCTTGGTCAGGATTTCAGAGGCAGAATCTGTATGGCTTACTGTGGTGATGGGGCTGGGGAGGGAGGCAGAGAGTCCAGAGAGCAGATCTGAAAGGGAGCAGCAGAGGTGTCCAGCCATTGGAGAACCAGGAGAGGGTTGAGCATGCAGCCTTGGGGTGTTAGGGCCCAGGCAGAAAGGGGCCTGGGGCAGCTGTCCCCCCGGGGTGCTGCTGCCTGAGGTCTCTGCTCCCACCTTCCGGGTGACTAAATGGCACAGAGTCCTGAGAGCATCCTATCTCACAGATTGGGTGAGGCCCGATTTTACCACCATCAGCATCCTATCTCACAGATTGGGTGAGGCCCGATTTTACCACCACCATGTGGTGGCTGCCCTGGAGGGTCCTCTGAGAGCAGCATCCCAGACCTCAGGGCTGGGATGGTCAGCTTCCCAAGGGGAAGGGCAGTGTTCTCAGTCAGCAGACTTGCTGCTGCGCTTCTGTGGCCTGTGGCGTGGTCCAGGAGGGGGCTGAAGACTCCAGCAAGAGAGCAGTGCTACACAGGGCAATGCCAAGGAGGACTCAAGGACCACGGGACCTTGAGAGACCTCTGAAATAATTCGCTTGGCTTCCCCATTCACACTACTTCCTTTGTCTGGAAAATTTTGGCTCCGACTTGAGCATTCTTCCTGTCACCAGTGTTCTGTCCCAGGCAGTGGGGTGGATATGGTAATGGACCTACCACCTGCTTTTAGAAAACAAACACATGAACGACCTCACCTCTCATTCTCCAGGCTGGAGGGAGCACGGGCCTCCTGATGGACTTGGCAGCCAATGAGAAGGCAGTTCATGCGGACTTTTTTAATGGTGAGTGTGCCAGAACTGGGTTGCCAGGCTTCATCTGAATTTCCTCTGCCGTGGACAGCTTTGTGTCGTGGGTAATTTGGATCGTGGAACAGTGTAGCCCAGAGCTTATGCCCTTCTCCGTCCTGTGCCAAGTTTATGGAGTGGCCACTTGGCTGTTAGCTCTGGCTGTCAGCCCTAGTGGAGGGGAAAAACAGGAAATAAGTCCCTGCCCAGCTCACTACCCAAGGTTGAGTTTGAGCACTGGTAATGGATAGCATGGGCAAATGGACACATTGCTTATGGCCTGGATCCCAGACCTGGGCATAGGGGCCTGCGTGGCTCTGTCTTCCCTCTGCTCTGTCCTGTTGGTGGCTTGTGCCCCATCTTTCCTGGGTCACACCTGTTTGCCCACCTGGATTCTCATGTCCTCTGCAGCCTTTTCAGAGGGACAGCTGTGCTGTGCTTGAGTTCAGCCTGTGTCTGAAGTCAGGACGGAGGGCGTACTTCTGTCTCAGAGCTCAGAGCTTTCTTGGTTAGAATATTTTACCAAAGAAACAGTGAAAGGCGACTGTAAAGTCTCCAGGCATGT